AGCAAAACTGCATGTTTTTATGTCATCTTCCACCCTTGCAACAGTGTTGGTATATTTATTAAACACCCTGTGTATTGGGAGGAACCACACACATACGATTGAAAAAATACTGCAGTTGTTTAGTCCCTGAAAATTTGTGCCGAAGACTTTTTAGCACGTTTTATTGGTAAGTAGTTTAAAATTGGAAACTCCTTAGCCGCTTTCCATGCCCTTATTTCTAACAATCCTGCTTATCATTAAATTATGCACTATTTCTAGTATTTTAGTGTATTTTGGTAATTGATCTTTGATATGGTTGTTTATCAAAAAGAGAAACTGGTTAAAGGCGAATTAAATAATAATTTTGTGCGGAAAATTGAACGATTCTCGGATATGTTCGAAGTGGTTTAGTGCGTTTTTCCACACTTGATGCCCAGCAGCCTTTTGCTCGCTCCTTACCAGATTACATCGGAGTTACATAATAGTTCTCTTGGATTTACTATCTACCTGCTTGCACAAATTCTAGTCTATATCTACCCATCAATACACCTAATCTAAGTCTAAGTTATCATCATTTCTTCATTTAATTAACACCGACATATTAATTACATACATGGAAGATTTATTGAACAGTTTGTGGGCCCGTTCTAGTACTCGCTCGGTTCTTGGTGTTTCAAGATCAGATATAAATGATGCTGCGAACTGAATCGTTATTATTTGGCTAAAAGGGGAACTAAGTAACTAATTTTTCTAACGTAGAAGAAAAGCAAAGAAATCACGAATTAAGTGTTTGTGGGATTTTAAATTGATACTCTAATGTTCGTTCACTTATTTCGATAAATCGTGACATTTTAATTCTGATCAGAGCATGGAAAATCCGATATTGTTAATTTGAAAAAACGTTTGCATTTTTGAACCACCCTGTACATGTAAAGCAAATTGCGACAATCACGGAACTCATCACCTCACTGGTTTATGTCGATTTCGATCGATTCAAATTTCATATAAAACCTGAAGGTGTTAAATCTGGCGATGGGCCGGCCAGGAGGCTGGACATTTATGCGTTCGCTTATCGGAGGTTCTTCCTTCTATGGGCGGTAACCAGGTCTGAGTAAAAATTATGTAACATTAAGGTTTCATGCGGATTTAAGTCAAACTTATTAGGTTTAGAACCAAATTATATTTACGAGAACTATCTGAAAGAGTGGTTGAACGTTGCGTACTAAAAACGGGCACAAATCCCTAAAGAATTATCAAGAAGAACGCATTTAGTGAACATTCAGCAACGAACATTCTGGAAAAAATCTGCTTTTGATTTGGTGGTGTTCACCAAGTTTGCCCCATAAATATTTGTAAATGCATCTTCCCACCAGAGTAGTTTAGTTGCTACAATATTTAGCGGAAAAATTGACCTTCAATGGCAAATTTCTAGGTTTTGTACTTAATTGTTTTCCCCACCCCGATCTAGTTGGGTAAACCTCAATTTTTCCCTAAACACCGTAACGGTGTTGAATATTTTAGGTTCTACGGCCTTAAGAAATAACACAAGAATTCCTCTTTCCATGCTTATCCCTGATCTGTTGCAAGTGTTGCAGTTGAACGGCTGAAGGGATCATCGGGGCTGTAGCGGCATGGGAGGGTGTTCCTGTTGGTCCTGTTGGAAGTGATTGTCTGCGTCGTCGCCGCAAAGCGGGCGATAAATTGTACTTGACCTGAAATCAATATTTTCCTTATCCCAACATATGGAAGATTCTGAGCAAAGAGCAACCTTGGCCTGAGCGAGCAGTTCTTTGAAGACCTTGCTGACGTTGATGTTCTCTTTGGCTGAGGCTTCCACAAAACCGTTTTCCCAGTCGACTGTAATTACAGATTCAGTTGTCGCAGTATCAACCTGTAAGTACAAGGAAATTTTACAATTACCCGTCATTTTGGCCCACTTAGTGGATTATTTAATAAATTGCGCCCCTAATAGGAGCAATACAAACACATTAGTCGAAACGGTTCTACGGCTAATTCAGGCCGACACCCCATCAGTTCACCTCTAATTGACGTTGATTCACTTAATGCATTCATTTATGATAAATTACTGTTGATCATACAAAGCTGACGATTAATTCGCTTTAAGTACCAAACGGGTTTACTTTTCCAGAGTTTCTAGAATTGTACTTGAAATAGGGGAGTGAAGGACGAGCTGTCACTGTTAATTAATTCATTTTTTTGCGATGAGTGGGACTCAGAAATTACGTTTTTTGTCCTCAATTAGCCTTAATAACTGAACTTGAAAATAGATAATGACAGCCAAAGCTTCTTGCGGTGTGTGTATTTGCGAAATAACACGTTGCTAGGGTGGTTGCTAGGTAGTCGAGGATTCTGATTGGCTCAGCAGTGAAGCCAACTGTCAACTGAATTCACCTTGGGGAATTTGCGCTGAGATTTTTTGCAAAAACTGGATCATTTTCCTGTTCTAAACAAGAAAACTTACGTTTCTCTGAAAAACCAACTTTTGTTTCACCGTTTCGTGGTATTTTCTCGGCCGGAAGTCCGGTTTTCGCAACTAAAACACTGAATTTGAAACGCATTTGCCATCCATACGCTGATGTATCTATTTAAACTGATGGTGAGTGGAAATCTTTTTCGTTTGGAAACTTTAGGAGCTTAAGTACAAAACATTTTCTTCGCCAAATTTCTCCGTGAAAAAACTTATTTCTTTTGTCTTAAAGACGTTAAAACTTCATATGTTAGTATTAAGAACTCGTCGCCATAGTAACTAAAAATATTTTCTTGCGAAATGTTTGTATCGTAAAACAGGTTGCTGGGACGGTTGCCAGGCAGTGCATGATTATGACGCGCTTGTCAAAAGTGACGCGAAGTGTTAGACGCATTCACTTTGCCGGTTTCGTTCCGCGATTTTTCCAAAAAATTCACCTTTTTCCTTTCCCAAAAAGGAAATTTTCGATGCGCCTGAAAAAACAGGTCGAGATGTTCGGTTTTGTGGTGTTTTTGCGTCCCAAAGTGCGGTTTTAACAGGCAAAATGGTTTAAATTGCAAACATTCTGACGTCAACTGTCGGCCTAGAACCAACTATTCGCGAGTTCAAAACTCCGGGCGCCTCCTGGACGCCAAAATTGTAACTACAAGTTATGTAGTAATTTGACGCTTGTTTTGTGGACATTGTTGTCACATTGGTGATTGCATCTGATGTTTTGTTCTAGTCAACTTTTGCAAGCAGTTAAAAATCTCGATTTAACTATTGTTTTTTAAATTTTTTAAAAACAATGTTTAGAAGTTGTAAAAAATCAAGATTCAACCATTGAAAAATTTTAGAAGTGGTTAAAAATCGAGATTTAATTATTGAAAATTTTTAGAAGTAGTTAAAAATCGATATTAAAATACTGAAAAACTTTAGAAGTAGTTAAAAATCAAAATTTAACTATTGAAAAATTTTAGAAGTAGTTAAAAATCGA